CTGCGGGGAACTCTGCAAAAAACGCATCTTCGCACGGGCAGCCCGTGCGTTGGCCAATTTTTTATCATTTGTTGATAAAGGTTTAATAACCAAAATATGAGAGTGTAAGGACAATGCGAGCCGACGAACCGAGCTCAAAGGATCGAAAGAGCCGACGGACTGTGCTCACCAAACGAACTGAGGAAGAAGCCCACGAGGTGCATTCACCAAACAATCAAAGGAAGGCCGACACATTGTGACCAAGTGAGGAACTTGGGTTACTACTATTACAGGCCACCTTGCCGGCCTAGAACTGTATTTATTTAGTATAAATTCTTTGGAACAGACAACTAGAAAAGCTACAGTGGCAAAAACTTATCATCGTCCACGACAGTAGCAACCTGACACTACGCTGCACTGACGGGACAGCCAGTGTTTGAAACGATCAAACAATTGTTTCCCCAAGCTGTCCTCTGTAAGCTGTGGATAGAAGCGGGTAGTAACGCACTGAAAGTGACCTTTCTGAGTTACGTCGAAAATCACTGGTGGCAGAAATAGGGCAAACTATAACTGTCTTTGCGAAGAGATTTGGAAAAAAAGTTCGTGTAACTTACCAAAAAACTGTGGTAACATGTTGTTGCGGTGTTCACGAAACAGGCGAATATGCTGATAAATCAAGCTTATGATGCCTAAATGACATACTGATTGCTTTTAGATGATCAACAAGGGAAAATGTTGTAATCTGGCCAGAACTAGCAATGACTGAGGTGTGAAAGCATCGACATTTCATTTCTATCACAAATTCATCTTAAAACAACACCCAAACTGTACGTCGCAAAAACTTGCAAACATGACACAAAGGCATTCCAATGAAGTCCTCCTGAACTTTTCTGAGCAAAGCTTAGCCGGAAACGAAGAGACTCTGAGAACCAGATATTTTTTAGCTACATTCAAATGGATGAAAGGACCTGGATTTGCGTACAACTGCATTAGAAAGTGTACTGGATCAAAACACATAATTTAAGCAATCGCAGGCACAGGAGTGGTTCCAATCCATAGAAAAATTCGACAGCAAACCGCTCTCGCTTCAAAAACTAGTCAAACTCTGGCGGGGCAAAAGCTTTCTCACACACACAAGTAAGCTATACACACAGACAAAAGGTAAGCTGGGAAATATTCCCACAGAAATGCAATTCGATATTCACATAAGCCGTTTGCTTCAGAGAGGCGGCTAGCGCGTAAAACAATCATACATGCGGTATATTTGTCGATTTCAATTTTTGAAAAGTACAAGCCCGAGATGGTAAATTAATAACACTGTGGCATGGCCAGGACACACAAATGACAGGGGAGGACTGAGCTGCGAGAAGAGGAGATAAGGAGGCGCGGGAAGAGGCGGAATGGGGGAGGAGAGGAAAGGAGGGAAAGGGTACGAAAGTAGCAGTTGGTACGATCTTCTGCAAAAGTATACCTACAAAAGCCTCACTGCTCGGCAGTTCCAATGATAAAAATATCTTTTCATGTCTATTTTCGAGAAACAATTACCGCACAAAAAATACGCGACATCTACTAGGATCACTGGCTGTGCCACAGCTGGAATAAACTTGAGTAGTTACAAATGCAGCAGCATTGCTATTCTTCATCGATTGAGTAGATCGACCGGATTAATTTGCCCAGGCGTGATGTCTTGTCCAGCTGATTATTGTATTCACGCACGAGCATTCTGACCAGCTTGCTCGACTCAACAAGTCGCGCATTCAGTAGCACATTTTCCGCCCGGAGGTGCTCCATTTTCGAGCTACTGCCATCACTGCCATTACGCGACTGATCGCGTACAAGCGTCAGCGCATGCGTGTCAGCTGCATTAGCTGTCGTTGTCTGGCCTGCCGTCCAACTGCTTCTCATGTTTCCTATGCAACCGCACAAACACCGCGCCGTAGTCGAGCTGCTGATGTTCTGTGCTGTAAGGTAGGCATGCAGTTCGCCAATTTTCTCGCGTGCAAAGTTCAACCGGCCGTTCAACCTCTTGATTTCACTTTTTAGCTGAGCCTTATCCTGCAAGAGAGAGCACGTTTAACTGCAACACTAAAAATTTCCTCAGCTACTTGATAAATTACAGTTTTGTGGTTAATTCAAAAAAAAAAGCGACACAGAACGATGCAGCAGCTGATGCGAGGATTTTTTCAGCCGCACTCGAGCAATATCCTTGACTACAACTTTTGCTCATAGAGTCTTGAAAGCTGTCACTTTGCTTAATTTCAAACACTCGGAAATCACTCAGCAAATTCGCAACAGTATTTTAAAAGGGATGGACTTGAAACAAGCGAGCAACCAAAAGAAAATGCAGTCGAGACGAGAGTGCTTCCCGTCCACAAAAATTCCGACTGAGCAGATTTTAATGAACCCGGTACCGAATGGTCTGGTTTGAAATAAGCAACATATATGTCACAAAATGCACCAATGCCCTCATCACTTTCCTAGTGTACTTCGGCCGTAATTTTTCGGCGATATTCAGCACAGGGCTGAAATGCTAGATCGGCTACACGCTCGCCGCACCTTTTCCCAGTACATCCATGATGGCGCAGAAGAAGAAGCCCTTCACTTGACAAATTCAAAAGAGAGTCCAGAGCAGTCCGTATCCTTGCCCTCCTTTTCCCACTCGCCCTATTCTTTCGTTATTTTACAGCCCTTTGCCAGTGCTATGTATAATGGCCACATCAACGGCTAACACACAGTCGCTGCGTTTTAATGAAACAAATGTGTAGCCACAGCAGCTAGTCAATATACAGATTACTCCACGGTGCAGGTCTACATACTGAAACGACCTACAAAAACCATGAAAAATATTGAAAGCATGGTAAAGGAATTTATTTTCAGAGGCTATCATGTCCGAAATAAACCAGCAGCCTTTCCAGCACGGCTGTCCCGCACTTCTCGAAAGACACAAAATGGTGAATGAGGAAAACTCTCAACAGAGTGAGAAACATATTTTGACCCGACACGCAGCACTCGATAATTAAGGCAGTAGGGCAGAAAATATCTGAAGAGAACCCTACCTCAGTGATGCTATCAGCACTCGAGATGACATCTTCAAAGCCACTTTCAACAACGTTACCATCAGAGACCGCAGCCTGGATTAGTTTCAGTTTTGTCCTTATCATTTCGTAATGCGCGCATTTACTCTGTGCCAGCCAAACATTCTAAAATTTTCATAAAGTACAAAATTGGTTTAGCCGTCCAGAAATTTCAGGACTAGTTCAATATGAGTCCAGTCCAGTAACCAAACTTGACGCCAAACAATCCGACTAATGTTTCATACACCCACTTCAAAGTAATCACTTTTCCGACGTGGATCTCATCAGTATTTCTGCACTCACTCGAAGTTTGGCGCCTTTGTAAGCTTCTGTATGATTAAACTCTGGCGCACCTCTTGCATGGACCATTATTCCAGGAAAGGCCGCTTATAAAAAAGCTAAAAGGACTTCGACTCATCCTGCACCCCGCAAATGAAAAGGCAGTTGGCCAAAGTATTTGCATCCTAAGCAATAATCATATAAAACAAAGGAGATTTTCATACGACTTCAGCTAATTAAACCCTGCGTTTGTGCAGCAATTCTGTGTTTTGTAATTAAGTCTGACACCTTTTTCCAGGCTAAAATCATCCAGTTTTTCTAAGTTGCCATCTATTCCTACCAAGACAGGCGCCTGATGGTCACCGCCTGTATGTTTTCATTCTACAGCTGTTCTGATCACTACAAGGATAAACTATGAGGCACGAACCCGATCAACGATTGTAAATGAGTGTGCGCACTGAAAAGTTAACAAAGAACATAACATTTTGACATTTTAATAAAATATCAACAACCAACATTTAAAACACACGTTTTAATGAGCACATTTACCCTGCTGTATGTTTTGGAAGATAACGAAGTTGGTGGAGTTTTCTCAATGTTCAATATTTCTCCGCTGTCTGCACTTTTTACTCCAAACATATTTTGTGACTGATCTTTCAACCTGAAAGTATATCACTGTCCCCAAATCATTCTGCCACTATCATTATTTTGTACACCGCTTTCTCTAAATGGAGTACTACACTAAATCCTAACGCTATCTTCAAGAAAAACATTTACAGCCTGTGACTGCTGCAAACAGTGCAGTCGGTGTTACTGGCAAACGCAAAAATATGCCAACATGTCAGATCCATCAGGGCTCTGGCGATTGGTTTGCAAAACAGTTATTTTTCGTAATACCACTAAGTGTAAAATATACGTAAAACCTCCTCGTCCAATTCTCAGCCAGTCCAGTGATCATGGAAGTTGTTTTAATACTTCTGGTAATGGTTATTATCGAGCAGAGATGAGAGAACACCAAAAGGTAATCTGTAGGTTCACATAAAACGAGGACAACGATATGAGAATGTGGCACACTCATTATCAAATACTAATAACCTATTAAATATTACTAACCTGTAGTCACGGTATGTCTAACATTTCTATCGGCAACAACAAGAAAAACAGGATAAGAAGAGCTAGAATCAGCAACAGGGAGGTCTTCAAAAATGACAAAGAGAGAATCAGCAACTGAGAATTCCATGAGTTCACTGTTACAAACGGCATTTACGAACGGAATTTTCAATAATGCAATGGCGAGAAGCAGTCTGACCTAAGCGCAATTTACCGCAGAGCAGTCAGTGGGGCTGTTGCTTTGTAAGTGTCGTGCAGCTTTTTGTTCCGTAAATATGGGCCTTAAGCGTATTGTTGGTCTGTCATGACAGTGACATTTACTATCAAAATCCAGTGTTTTACAAAACTGAATGTAGTAGCAGATCACTGTGATGAAATACTTCAAATGCTGAGAGGGTGGCTCAACGAAATTCCAGTAAAAAAACAGTGCAAGCCATATGAGGCATTCAACTCAACCGACACTAGAAAATCTGATGCAGTAACTGAACCGACGGTTCAACACTTCTGGATGCCTCTGCACATCAAGCTAATACATTAATAAAATGAAAGACCCAAACCTTCGGAACACTAGATTACTCTTGAACGCTTCAACAGCAGACAGCAACTGCGTATGCCCGTGCGAGTTCATGAAGCTGCCGCGATTTCTGGAACGCTCAGTGCTGTTACTCTGCTGAAAAAGAAAGCAGTGACTCTCATGACAGCATCGACAACAAAGATGAGGAGTCAACCAATTATGTCCTTCTCCTTCAACTTACATACAAATTAATGACCAAAAACAACTTCTTCCTTTGGCCTCTATATATTAATTTTATGCCAGCGGCATACTACATTTCGGTTTTGGCGTCCTCAGTGAACCGTTTATAATAGCATCTAGAGTACGTACTTCAACATGCATTCTCTCAATTAAACTCTACGCTCTTAGTCCTGATTTTATGCCATTAATTCAACGTTTTGCATTTTCCTCCCGTACAAGTGATCCTGGCGCTTCCAGACAGGGCAAACAGGAAAAAGAGCAGGAGCAGCTCCGCCTACGCCTGACTTCGTAGGAAACACAGAAACGCTGGAAGGCGGCCAGAGGAAAAGTGCTACAGCTTCTACAAATGCATCGTGCATCAAACATGCAATGCAAGATACATTTCTATGCACCATTTAATCAGTTGCATGATGAAAAAATGCGATTACTGATGATAAGTTCAATCGCCAGTGACACTACTTTTTGTCATTAGGAAAGCACGAAAAAACTGTCGTTGCCTACGGAAGTGCTGTCTTCATACCAAAAACTGTTCACACGTAATGTAGCCGACGTACACGACAGCAGTTCCAAGAAAAGACTTATTCATCCATTCTCTTATATACTCATTTGCTGATTTTGACCTATCTAGCCTAAAATATTCGGCCAATTGAAACTCAAAACTCCGAATGAGTGATTTTATTGCATCCGATTCAAAAGCATTGTAAAAAAGTCTGAAAAAGATGAAGTCTTCATTAATTACTCCTTGTTATCACCGCTCGACTTCTTCAAAAATCAAATCAAATTGCTTGCCTCGTAATTGGAACCTTGCACTTGTGAATCCGACGCACCCACTGATGCTTTCTTCAAGCGATTCATTCGGCATCCGAATTGTTTCTGTAAATGGTAACTGAAATCAATGCAGATCACTGAAGAGGTCTAGCGCCTGAATGGAATGTAGAATGCATAATCCAAAGACGATCGTCAGTTCGCATTCTCAGTTTATCAACGAGCGGAATAATCCTCCGACATGAAGAACGATAAGTAAGCGTTGGCAAGTTCGGGACAGAACAATACTCCCTTCAATCGTTCAATTGTTTAGTGCCAATCTTACGTCTTGGGGCATTATACCGCGCCCAGAGGTTGGACATGCGACTCCGTGACATCCTCAGGGATAAGAAATGCCGGTACCGCAAGAGTACTGTGGACAGGCTACCATGTAGTTTCGTACTGTGTAAAAAGGAAATCAGTTTGCATTGCCAAATCCACATAACCGGTCGTGATTTCAGCGCATATACTGGATAAAAAAATTGGAGATGAAATAACTACATCGATAAACGAAAAAACGTGAACGGCAACGACTCTTTTATCAGTGGAACCTAGCCTATAAAGTAAAAAATATATATGCGAACTTCGAATGCCAAATGTGAAGAGAAAAATACGAAATAAAGCCGAAGAACGATGTCCGCAAATCAAGGGAAAACTGCTACTTACAACGACGAAATCGAGAAGAGAGGGGCCGCATATCAGAAGACAGAAATGTGGAAAAAGCGTGCCTCCTTTCAACGCTCCGCAACCAACAGATCAATCCATGTTGTGCTAACTAACGGGAAAAACACAAGCAAATGTTCGGAAGTGGAAAAACTGCCGATAACGATGAAAATGACGAACCAACGCTGATGCCAACATTACCGGTAGTTAGGAAGTATAGGAAAATACGTGCCGTCAGTTGATACTCACTGTAGCTAAGGAACAGCAAAAATGCAAACGGAACGTGAAAAAAATTTGGAAATCCACTGTCCTATACACTAATCATCAGTATAACTGTAAGAAATACTGTCAGCCACTTTGCAAAGCTCCTTGAAGAACAGTAACTACTCATTTTTGAGAGCAGCATAGACATAAGCTCGTTGGGAATAAGCAGTTTAAATTAACAACATGTCATTCCCTCTTTCCAGTTATGAAAAGCATCCGAAAGCGCTGTTTTGACGTTATGTTGTGAACTGCTGCAGATGAGGAAACTAAAGAAAGTGGATGAAGTCGCTCACTATTCACCGTCACGAAAGGATGAACAATACACTGAACCGAGCACTGCCCAATCTGCTGACAAACAGCAAATGTCGCGCATCACTGGAACTTCATACGAGAACAAAACTCTAGGTCGGAACGCACCAGGTTTATCGGTGCGGTCATGCGTTTTTGCACTAAACTTGAAACAATCAAATCGTTAATTGTATGACTGGTTGCTGCTTTATACTTATTTTGTGTGTCTTCTAGCATAAATCATTTTAAATTTTGCATAAAGAAAATGAGCACTTTTCGTCAAACAGTAGTTCTATGAAAATTACAGAGCTGTCCAGTAAGTAATTTTCCTGTCAAAATTTTTAATCGCCCATACGTAAGAACTAAGCATATCTGGGGAGTGAATTTTAAATCTTTAATATGTGCCTGGACAGAGAAAATTCTCACAAAATTTCAGCTTTTCAGCTTGTCTTGCTCTCGAGTTAGCAATTTCTCCGTCAAAGCTTTTACATGCCTGTTTGTGAGTACCACGCACACCCGGAGGTTGAATTTGAAATCTTTATATCGTACGTGAGCGGGGAACAAACCCTTAAATTTCCAGCCGCCCAGCCTCTTCGGTTCCCGAGTCAGCAATTTCCCGCCAAAACTTCACGTGCTCGTGCGCGCAGCTCAGACGTGTATGAAGGTTGGTGCCAAAGCCCTCGGGTAGCAACTGGTCGGGAATCCACTGGCAAAATTTCAGCACGAGCGCTTGCTTGGTTGCCGAGTTGAAATATATACACACACACACACACACACCACGGGTAGTCACAATATGCGTTTTGGCATTTGCGTATACGCAAAAACGCATAAAAACCAATCACACAAAACTCGCAGAATACATGCTTGTGATGCACATGGAAAACAGTCGGTAAACTAGGGCAAAAAATCCTGGCACCGTAACGTTTGGCGCATGGATGCAATCCTGTAATATTCACTACTCCACATAAAATTCTTGGTGACCTCACTACGTCGACTACTCCAACAAATAACCAGGAATTAGCCTGTAGTAAGTCAATCACCTTTAGCTTTTCCTCGAATACTTCTTGTTCCCGCATGTTCCGTTCAGAAGCTATGATTTTTTCAAACTTTGGACACTCTTTTTCAAAACTGCAATAAAATAGATGTAGCGGTGTTAATAACAGCGAAGAAAGGATCAATGACGTAAGGGAGAAAAAAAACTATCAAAACTAATATATGTACTAAGCCAGCAACGCTACCGTAGCAACCAAATTTGACAATATGACTCTATGAGGGATGTCAGAAATATCATTTGCGAGAATGCTGTGCAAAAATAACGCAAAGGTCAAGTGCACTGATGTGATTGTATGAAAATGATGAAACCTTCGGTCTTGCATTCAGATGTTTCGAATTTAGTTCTAACTTGGAGGGGAGAGGGGGTTATACACTGCGTCACAGCTCTAGGCATTTTTACGAAGCAGGCAAAAAAACTGAGAATTAATGCTAGCAAAGTATTCGGAACTAAAGCAGGTTGAGAAAACGGTTGGGCATAATATTATGCATCTGCAACAACTCCACTACACAATTTTAACGGGATGCGCCGCAAAAGCACACTATTCACTCAAACTAAGGCCAAGAGTTATTTCTACGGCAAAAACAAAAGAGCACTTGCCACAAATGAATCTTAACTGTACAAAGCCGATGTTCTGCTTAACAGCAATAATTTGTAGCATTTCGAAACGCATTATACTGAAGACTGCAGTCTCTAAACTGAGAGTTTTAAATTAATTTGGCTGCACCAAAAATACTTTTATTCCCAAAACTTATAGGCAATACGCAAGCATAATATAATCCTTAGCTCTTCAAACCAAAATTACCTTTGCCCATTGCGTAGTTGGTAATTATTCAGGGTATCCGTAAGGGACTTGTTAGCAGCAAGCAGTGCAGCAATTTCTTTCCCATGGCGCTCTTTTAATTCTGCTATCACTTCATCCCGCACATTTTCCAACGCACGTTGCTTTAATTTTTTGGCTGGCGGGCTGTCTATCGGTGCTATCCTACCTGCCATTGGTTTCCTCCTATTTCTTGTATCTGATATCGATTCACCTGAAAAAGACAAATATTTCCACACATATATGAGAATTAGGTTAACAGCTAAGGCAAGATGAGGTACGACCTTTCATACTCTCTTCACATTCCTCTTTTCATTTCTTTATTTTAACTATTCTCTTGTGCCTACGTGACCATATAAGTAACCAGACCCTCTGTCCCGTAAGCGATACGCAGATGTTATAACGGCTATACAAAAAAATAAAATCCGTTCAGAAAAACATGTTACCAGTTTTGATGACAACTAGCGTACCAGTGAGCAGCTCCTATGGGAAAGTAAACGGTTATTCAGGCCGCCTTCGAAGAGGTGGCGCACATCTACCGAACAGACGAGAGAGACAAACTGGAGGCATGTAGCTTCGGAAAGAAAAGCCTCGCACAGCGCTGCCTGACTTGTAGAGGTATTCCAATTGCAGCCTGTATCTAAGCAATCCTAGCAAAGAAGGGCTGAAGACAGCCCCGCCAGCAAGTAACTGCCTTTAACATGTGCTACCACTCGAGCTATTTCCATATATATATATA